GGTACCCACTGTACCGAAACCTGCACCTGACTCCTGGCTGCCGCGCTTTACTGCTGCTGAGCTGCTTGCTGCGCAAAAAGAGGATCCTGATGTGTCCATTGTGTTAGGCTGGCATGATTCTAGTCATGATGTGTTTAATTCTCCCCCTGCACACACATTAACTGCCTCTAGCCGGGCTGTTCGCCGCTATGCTTCTGAAATTCATTTGCTTTCCCTACGTGATGGTGTTTTGTATCGCACAGACCCATCGGCTGATTCTGTTTTGCAATTAGCTGTTCCGTTCTCTTTCCAAGCTGATATCTTAGCTGCAGTGCACGCCGATGTTAGTGGTGGTCATCTCGGTGCTACAAAGACCATTGACAAGGCCAAAGGCCGTTTCTTCTGGCCAGGTATGTCAGCTGATTTGCGCACATTTGTAGCTAATTGCCAAGAGTGCATGTCCCGTAAGAGCGCTACGACTGGCCGAGCACCATTGCAGTCCATGCGAGCTGGCTTCCCTAACGAGATCGTAGCCATGGATCTCGTTGGACCACTGCCTACCAGTCGCCATGGCAACCGTTACCTACTGGTATGTAGTGACTACTTCTCACGTTGGCCTGAAGCGTACCCTCTACCCACTATGACTGCTGCTGCCGTTGCGGATGTGTTCTTTCGGAACTGGATCTGTCGGTTTGGTGCCCCAGAACAACTCCACACCGATCAGGGCACACAATTTGAGTCTGAACTCTTCAGTGAACTGTGTCGCCTCATGAATATCCGAAAGACTCGGACCACCGCGTATCATCCCCAGGGCGATGGGCTCGTGGAACGCCTCAACCGCACCATAGTTTCAACGTTGCGAGTGTATGTAGCGGATCTGCCCACCTTCTGGGATCAGTATGTTTCAACCGTCCTGCTTGCATACCGTACAGCCAAGCATTCTTCTACCCAATTCACCCCAGCTCAGCTTATGTTTGGTCGCCAACTCCGTCTGCCTATCGACCTTGTCTATGGGTCACCCCCGACAGAGTTTGTGTCGCCCGCCGAATATGTCACACAACTGTCCAAGTCCCTCCACCATAGCTTCGATACTGCCCGTCGTAATGATAATGCTGCGCACCACAGCCAGAAGGACCACTACGACCTTCGTCAACGTGGCACTGCATTCCAAGTCGGTGATAGTGTGTGGCTCCTTGAACCTGGAATGCGTCGCAAACTCCAGCCACCGTGGACCGGACCATACCGGATTGTCCATGTGTCGCCACCAACGTCATACGACATTCAATTGATCAACGAACCCTCCAGCACCAGTAAGCGTGTACATTTCAACCGCCTCAAGCTACACGCCCGCTCAAACGCCAAGTCGTCAGTCTCTCAGTCCGGCCCAGATGTCCCGCTGTCTGAAGCGCCACTGGCTCCTACTTCTCCATGTCCGCCGCCTGTTCCGCTATTCTCCTGGCCTGATGCTGATGATGCCCCACCCCAACCTGTTCCTCCTCCGCCGCCGGTTTTGCTGCAGCCAGCACCACCAGCACCTGGTCCGCGTGCCCATCTGCACCGCAACGCCGGTCGTCCTGTTCGTTACAGGAACAACTATGTGTTCCCACAATGAGTTCCAAACTCGCACTTGCCTTGCCTTTCTGCTCCACTCTGTTTCCATTGTGTGCTTGTGTATGATTTTCTTTTTCTTGCTGATGTATTTTGCTGCTTGAGCCTCGTTTAGGTCTACGTTAATTCTGTATTATGTTCTTGTTTGTTTTCCGAGGACGGAAAATTATTTGAGGGGGGAGCAGTGTAGTAGACGGACTTCCCCCTACACAAATCACTATGTATTACTATGTAGCGTAGTAGACGGACTTCCCCCTACACAAATCACTATGTATTACTATGTATTGCACTATGCATTGCTGACACCATCAGATCCCTTGCTTTCATTCGCTAGCTAGCGCTCGGAGCTGTAACTGGCAATCTCGTACCATATATATAGATCCGTGTGTCAGTTGCCCAGCTCAGTTGTTGCAGAGTCCTTGCCTCCGTTGTTTCTGTCGTCTTCCCTTCACTTATTGAGTCTTTCAATATACTATAAGTAATTCTGTGTCACCTACGTTTGTCGTTCCGTGTGTGCAATATTGTTCCCTGAGAATACTACCTGTGTTTTGCCGGAGAGACTGAACCAGTTTTGCCTTGTCACTCGGTCGCGTATTACAGTAATAATGATGGATTCCTCCCGATCCTCGTCGCGGCTAAAATTTGTTCGGTGTTTGTCTAAATTCTCAAACTGACAGGGTTTACAAGAGAAATGTACCTAATTTTGTGCGATTGATGCAAATAAATCGGAATATGTCTGACTTCATAAATCCGTGCGGTAAACCGCATGAAAGGACGCCATGTCATTAGTTGGTGCACATGAAGTCACCGTGATTCGTAGTTGCCATGCACATTTGCGTTACGACTTGCGAAACCTGAATTCTGTTTTCAACGAAACGATTACGAGCCGAATCAAACTTTCCTTTCGCATTTGATTCGTAGCAAATGCGAAAGGTCCCTTAGGGCCCGGTCACACATGCACTCGAAAGTAGCGTACCGTATTATCTCTAATATAAGCACGGTCCTTTATTTTTTCAATGTACCTCCGCCCCGTGCTATTAATGGAGACGTTCCTTTAATGGAGACTGTTCCATTATTATTTCAACCTCATTTCAGAGGCATGTTGCCATGCCAAATTCATGTATGACGCACACATTTCAGGGTTTTTTTCGCCGGTACAGATAATGAATTTACACAGTGTGCTTATAATGGAGACTGAGCACTTTATTTTTTGAATGCCGCCCCAAGGACCAAGGTGTTCTATTATTGGAGACGTGCTATTATTGGAGACTGTGCTTATATTAGAGATAATACGGTATACGCTGAAGCGAGGTCGCAGGAGCGAAAAATGGCATGGCAACGGCGAAAAGCGGAACTTCCGCTTCAGCGGAAACTCCAATCCGCTTCCGCCAAAATTTTCGAAGCGAGACTGTCGCTTCTGGCGGATTCGCTTCCGCGGAAAACACCACCGTCTGCTGTATATGGACTTGCTACGAGAAATTTGTATGCGTAGATCTATGATGTCCATGCAACAAAAATGCGTGGAAGATGGTTGAGACCTCGTCTATTCTCCGTACCGTATGTACCACAGTCCACTTTATTCTCATTTTCCGCCAAAGTAGGAGTTGTGCCCTGTTTGCATGTGTGACCATACACACGTGGTTTCGCTGGAGCGACACCAGGCTCGCTGCCGCCGAACCTTCTCGCCGAAGCGAAACCCCAATGCATGTGTGACCGGGCCCATTAATATGGGGTCTCCGTAATATGGGGTCTCCGACTCCGACGGCGAAAACTCACATCACGTGTCTCAGATACCTTTGTACTACGTAGATCTACAACCGTAGGATAGTGTGCGCGCAATCCGAAAATCTGCCGTGATCATGCTGGGATTTGCGTACGCGCAGTGAGTATATGTCAGAGAGTACTCAAGTGCTTTTTTTAGTACTCTGCTGCTCGCTAAAAACCAGCTGGAAACGTACAACTGCGACACTGCACCACGTGATGTGAGACGTTTTCGCCGTCGGCGTACCCCGCAGGGTATCAGCCTCAGCTACTATCAGGAGTTGCACACTCTTGGGGGGGGGGGGGGGGGGGGTTATTATACAGTGGTCCCTCTATAATCCGGCACCATTTGTTCCACGAAAATCTGCTGGATTAGGGAGGGTGCTGGATTAACAAATCTGATTTACTGCTGCAATGTGCATGAAGAGGACATTTTGGCTACTGAAAATTGTGCTGGTTTATCGAGGGTGCTGGATTATAAAGTGCCGGATTAGAGAGGGACGACTGTATACTCTTGACAATACCAGTAGTAAAATCCTAAAAGGATTGCATACAACTCTGTATCTAACATCAGGAGTACGTACAAAGTAAGTTGCTTTGACTGAATTTCACTTGTTTTATTAGTGTATTAGTTACTGCGCAGTACTGTGCATGCTAGCTACATACCTAATCACAATAACTATTTTTGGTTTTGCCCGTACAAGAGGCTTTTAACACGTGAAAAAAAAGTAAAATCCTAAAAAGAACGCTTTTTGGTCCAACTTTCGTAAATTTACGACTGCGTTCTCTCGGCAACTGGTGGGTGGCGAAGGCGCTAGCGACGTCTACGTAACATCGTCGTTACATGATGTTGACGACTTTACACAAGCAGCCTTTGTCCTCGGCGAGAACTCGCTCAGAAGACACAGGATCATAGGCTAGACTTGAGTATACTCCACCATCAATCATGATCTGGATTCTTTCTTCTTCTTTTTTTTTAGCCCTGACACTGTGCTCACTGAAAGGATCTGGCTCAGGCCGGTGGGATCATCTCCGCTCCGTGACCCCGAACATTTGGCTTTGGATCTACTACATCATGTGCACCTAGCTAGCTGACCTGGTCAGTGGTCACCATGGTCACTGTCTGTGTTGTGACATGGATCCCATGCCGGGCCATGGAGCCAGTGCTGACGGCACCCGGAAGTAACAAAGGGAGGCTCGGCTTTGTGAGCTTGTGGAAGCCCACCGTGAGTGCCGGTGGGGCCGGGGCTGTCCTACCCGAACATTTCCCGTTATCTCAGCCCCGGGCTTTGTTGGATTGTTTTAGAGCCGGATGCATTATGTTTTTTTTTTTTTTTTTTACTAAGGCCACATCCGTTCCAATCATGACACACACAGCAGCATGCTCTCCTTCTGCCTTCTTCTTGTCCTCTCTCTTCTCTGGTCTTCATTCTGATGACGTTTGTGCAGTGCACAGTACCGGACTACTGGTACTTGATGAAGCAGAGTATATGGAATGCAGCCGGAAGTACAGCATGTGTCAGTGTCTGCTCCAGAGCCGGGTCAGCGACCCGGGCCGGTTGGGGGGGGGGGGGTACTTGGACCCGTTTGGAAAAGAACACCGGTTGCTATGGTTGTGCCAGGTACACATGTACTAACGGCTGGTTTGAAATCCTAGAGCAGACACTGTGTCTGTAGCACAAATCCCAATCCAGGCACACAGCCAGGTGCTAGTAAATGTCCAACATGCAGCATGCAACACAAAGACAGCTACCAAAGGGATGCCCACCTTAGAAAAGCTGAAATGCAAGATACATGCATACCATCTGAAACAGTGCGTTCAGCTCAGTGAGCCTCCCGCATGCACAAGCGCTTACACTAAATAACGAAAAATTCAGTGGGTGGTGTAGCTGAGTGATGGGTGAAGTCAAACCATGCATCAAAGCTACTACTACTAACCAGTCAAATCAAGTAACCTTATAGCTATCCACATGGTCAGGAGCTGCTGATCATCATGTATGGAAGAAAGAAAGCCTCAGTGTAGCCAACACCGTGGGAGAATGTCAAAAGAAGTGGGTTAGAGTTGCCTGAAATCTATGTGCAGTTTGCAAAAGGAGCAGAAGACAAGCTTCTGTTTCAAGTAAGTAGAACACATGAAATGTTTGCTCAACTTCGCAGCAATTTTTCCTGAAATACCTACACCTTAGATAGAATTATGAAACGATTACTCGCTACAATTGTAAGTTCAAGAATGCATTCACGCCACATAAAGGCTGCTGACTCCGCGAGGACAAGTGTTCGCATGTCAGTGCAATGATTCTAGACTATAGGCACAACTTCACTGATGATGATCGGCTCGTGGATCGACGAAACGGCTTCAGCTTCGGTTGAGTGTAAGACAAACTTGCGGCCCTCCGTGGGGTGAGCTTGGCAAACAACTTGAACAACCCAGCATCCTAATGGTTGGCGGTGGAATAGAGTTTCGACGGCTTCTGCAACCACCTGTGGTGGTAGTGGTGCGGGTCACGGATAGTGGAGATCGCAGTGGAGGTGAACGTATTTGAGTACATCAATGTGTCTCGTGTTGGTGTGTGGCATTTTACGCCGCCATCCAATGCATGCCGCGTAGCGCATGGGGCACGGGAGGCACATGCACCCCCCTAAAGAATTCCACCTAGGTTTAGCATGCATATACTGACCATGAATGACATGCACCAGTCTGCATCCTACACATATCACTTCCACCCTGTGAAAATCCAAGTGACGGATGTGTGTGTGTGTGGGGGGGGGGGGGGTATAGATGCAGTAAGCTGAGTCTCTCATCTTCCTCTCCATGGTGCTTACTACGCAAATTGAAACAATGGCATGCTGGCTGAGAGAGGGGTTTACAGGCCAACAACGATGTTGTGCTGTTCAGCGTGGACCAGAAAGTCAAGGCTACGAGTACACTGTACAATCATGTACTAACTCAGCTGCTCACAAGCACATCAGCACCAACCATGCAGGTTGCTCAGCAGTCCAACGCCAGGCTATAATAGTGCTTGCAGATGTCTCTCTCTCTGAAGTGAAATCACCCTGCAGCCGGACACCATGGTACACTGCGCTTTCACCGTTCTAGACTGGTGGCTCGACGTCGTACGTCGGGACCATGCGGCTCACTCGGCTCACGACGTCATCACTGGCCCGCTCCAGCATGTGCATCACTTCTCCGACGACGCGCTGATGCACGTTCTCCTCGATCTCCTGCGCATTGCGCGCGGCGCTGCTGCTCATGGTGCGAATAACGTCGCCTGTGTTCTTGTGCACGATCTCCTCCAGCACGGTGGGCAGCTGCTGACGCACCATGTCCTGCATGGTGTCGCTAATCTGAGCCTGCGCCGCTGCCTCGTCCTGCAGCATTGCCAGTGACCTGCGTAGCTGAGTGCTGCAATACCATACGTGTACGTGTACATGAACATGAACATGTGTGTGACAACATGAACAACATGGATATACACCAATAGTAAGGTAACGGCCACAATCCATTCAGAAATAGTCAGGGTCTGGGGTCAAACACGATTTAGGTGGATTTCGACTCACGAGTCGAAACCTGATTCAAAGTGGCCAGAACTTGAAGGTGTTGAACCGGCAAGTTGTTCTATCCATTGAGGATTAGTCTACCCCGACTATGCAATTGAAACTGGCTAAATTCGTAGTCTTGTTATTGTCCACGGGTTGGAGGAATAAACCTACATTTTCATGTAAAACAAATGAAAAGAATCATATAAGGCATCCACAGCCCGGGCACCCAATGTAATCCCCAGTGCATTGCATTTTATGCACGAATGGGTTACTGGCCCGAAACGTCAATAATTTTTTCGACATCACTAATAAAAGAATTTTCATCTAGCGCATGCGCCAAGAGTGAATTGCAACTAAATAGAGTGGTTGTCAGTTGACAAACCCCTTTTATTTACAATGCAGTTGCATGATGTCCACCACTTTCTGAACGAATGTCTGAAGGTGGTAAATATCCATACAAAGGGATCAGGAGATGTATAGATCCCATCCGAGTTCATTCTCCTGCACCGCATACTCTAAACCATATCAATGTGCACCTACAACTTGATGACCGACGAGGAGACAACAGTCGTAAAATAGCAATGAAAAATATCAATTGTGCACTCATAATCATGTATAAACAATTAAAATGAAACAATTCCAGAACGTTTTCGTGTGACCATCATCAGTGGAACATCGTCACATAGTAAGAATCACTAAAACAACCAGTTATATAGCTAGAGTAACATGAAAAGAAGCGTGAGAATGCAGCACAGCTAGCGGTTATGCATAACGCGTGTAGTGTGAACCTTTGCAGTGTATCTGAGAATGGTAGCAGTAGATGAATGTGGCAGCTGTGAGTGCGTGTGAACAAAAACTAGTGAGTGCGTATTATTTAAAAAGTGTGAGTGCTACAACATTTTCTTTTTGCTTGCATAGAACAGGGTCACGTGTGCGAATATATACAGCTTCCAACACCTGCAACTGCTTAAAGAAACGCGCGCGACAAATAACACTAAACCAGGAATCGTCAAACAACTTACGACAATCCGGACTGGACACCAAATGCTTGTAGATGGCAGACTTGCTCTTGTCGATGTCGAACTCCTCCTCGTCCGTATCACTCTCATCCTCCACTTCCCGTTCCTGCTCACCCTTACTTTCCTCCTGACCATCCTGTTCATCCCCATCATCATCCTCCATCTCCATCTCCTCATGCCATCGCTTCTTTCTCCTTGACGTGTTCACTGCTGCGCCCGTACTTTCACCTGCCACTACTGGTTCCGCCTTCTCCATTTTTCTCAGTCGTGTCTCCGCTAGTCTCTGGCTTCTCCTCAGATTCGTTTTTCCTCCATTTTCATTTCGTTCTCCTGGTGATCTTTCCGTTACCGCCATCGGGTTTGTTAATGAACGGTCGTCCGGTGGTCTCCCATGCCGTGTTGTTGTCGTCAAGAGTGACACCAGATTCGTGTGTTGCGCTACTGTTGAGTCCGGTGTTGTATCCGTTTCTGGTTGTGTTGTAATACTGACAGGCGTAGTAGTAGGCAACGGGTGTTTTCTCGGCCTCCCACGCTTTGGCCTGCCTGCCCTGGCCGCTTTTGACAACAAGGACAATGGGACGTGTTGTTTGATACGTTCGGACAAGTGTTGAAGCGTCCTGCCAACATACCGACTACCGCACTGTCGGCATTCAAAATGATAAATGAGGTGACTCAAATGATGGGTCGGCAGGACGTCCTTCAACACCGTGAACGAACGTATCGTGGTGAAGACAGTTACTACATTCACTGCATAGTACGTCTTCTGGACAATAGACTTGACAATACGACTGACCTTTGTCGACTCCGCGCCTTTCCAAGGCAGGCACAGGAAGACACGACAAGGAGCCGGGCCGATTGTCAGTTCCTTACGGGGCGCATTGTTCGTGAGTAGTTTCGCTAATAGTGATCCTGGATATCCGTTCTTAAGAAAGACAGAGCGAAGGAAATCAAGTTCTGCTTGCAGTTTACTCTCGGAGCAAATGCGTCTTGCCCTGTCAGCTAAGTTTCGGACTAGATTGGTCTTGTATTGCGAAGAGCAATATGAATCGTACATAATATACTGACCAGTGAATGTAGGCTTACGATACACCGATGTCACACCACCCTCACATGTCTTTTCCACGAGTACATCTAAAAACGACAATTTGTTGCAATCCTCGTGTTCACATGTGAAGCGTAATGCAGGGTGGACATCATTCAACTCATCTAGAAAGGCTTCACTGTCACGTCTTGTTTCGAAATAGGAGAACATTTTCACTATCCCGCGAACACATGAAAGCTCGTTCAGAGCTGAAAAAGAACAATGATATCATCATCACTCGGCCAGACAAAGGTCGGGCAACAGTTATCTTAACGCGAATGGAGTATAATACAAAAATGGCTACCATACTGGACGACGGGTGTAAATTTGTGGAACTCGGTCCGGTTTCAACACATGATAAAACATTGGCCCGGGAGAAGGAAATAGTAACCTATCTGAAGAAACTCCGAGCAGCAAAAGACATAACAGAATCCGAGTTTTTCCGAATCAAGCCTATCGGTTCGGTTCGTCCGCGCATGTACGGCCTCCCCAAGATACATAAACCATCCTGCCCGCTTAGACCAATACTCTCCATGATAGGATCGCCCCAATACGCTATATCCAAGTGGCTCTGCGGCATGATACAACCGGTATTAGAGCATTATTGTAAACACAACGTTAAGGACACGTTTGAATTCGTTGAAATCCTTCGTGACAACCCTATTCCGCCTACTGCCCATATGTGCTCTTTCGATGTTGTAAGCTTGTTTACAAACGTACCACTAGACGAGACAATAGATATCTGCGCGCGAAGACTATACCACAATGATGATGACATTGATCTTCCATGGTTACCGGAGACAGCATTTCGACGTTTGATGCTGATGGTGACGAGTGGCGTAGAGTTCTCGTTTGGTGATGTTATGTATAAGCAGACAGACGGTGTGGCGATGGGGTCTCCGTTGGGCCCGGTACTGGCAAATGTCTTCGTTGGATATTGCGAATCGAGAATGGACAAAATAAAGTGGCCTCAGTTGTACGTTCGATTTGTGGACGACTCATTTACCTATTTCGAAACAAGACGTGACAGTGAAGCCTTTCTAGATGAGTTGAATGATGTCCACCCTGCATTACGCTTCACATGTGAACACGAGGATTGCAACAAATTGTCGTTTTTAGATGTACTCGTGGAAAAGACATGTGAGGGTGGTGTGACATCGGTGTATCGTAAGCCTACATTCACTGGTCAGTATATTATGTACGATTCATATTGCTCTTCGCAATACAAGACCAATCTAGTCCGAAACTTAGCTGACAGGGCAAGACGCATTTGCTCCGAGAGTAAACTGCAAGCAGAACTTGATTTCCTTCGCTCTGTCTTTCTTAAGAACGGATATCCAGGATCACTATTAGCGAAACTACTCACGAACAATGCGCCCCGTAAGGAACTGACAATCGGCCCGGCTCCTTGTCGTGTCTTCCTGTGCCTGCCTTGGAAAGGCGCGGAGTCGACAAAGGTCAGTCGTATTGTCAAGTCTATTGTCCAGAAGACGTACTATGCAGTGAATGTAGTAACTGTCTTCACCACGATACGTTCGTTCACGGTGTTGAAGGACGTCCTGCCGACCCATCATTTGAGTCACCTCATTTATCATTTTGAATGCCGACAGTGCGGTAGTCGGTATGTTGGCAGGACGCTTCAACACTTGTCCGAACGTATCAAACAACACGTCCCATTGTCCTTGTTGTCAAAAGCGGCCAGGGCAGGCAGGCCAAAGCGTGGGAGGCCGAGAAAACACCCGTTGCCTACTACTACGCCTGTCAGTATTACAACACAACCAGAAACGGATACAACACCGGACTCAACAGTAGCGCAACACACGAATCTGGTGTCACTCTTGACGACAACAACACGGCATGGGAGACCACCGGACGACCGTTCATTAACAAACCCGATGGCGGTAACGGAAAGATCACCAGGAGAACGAAGTGAAAATGGAGGAAAAACGAATCTGAGGAGAAGCCAGAGACTAGCGGAGACACGACTGAGAAAAATGGAGAAGGCGGAACCAGTAGTGGCAGGTGAAAGTACGGGCGCAGCAGTGAACACGTCAAGGAGAAAGAAGCGATGGCATGAGGAGATGGAGATGGAGGATGATGATGGGGATGAACAGGATGGTCAGGAGGAAAGTAAGGGTGAGCAGGAACGGGAAGTGGAGGATGAGAGTGATACGGACGAGGAGGAGTTCGACATCGACAAGAGCAAGTCTGCCATCTACAAGCATTTGGTGTCCAGTCCGGATTGTCGTAAGTTGTTTGACGATTCCTGGTTTAGTGTTATTTGTCGCGCGCGTTTCTTTAAGCAGTTGCAGGTGTTGGAAGCTGTATATATTCGCACACGTGACCCTGTTCTATGCAAGCAAAAAGAAAATGTTGTAGCACTCACACTTTTTAAATAATACGCACTCACCAGTTTTTGTTCACACGCACTCACAGCTGCCACATTCATCTACTGCTACCATTCTCAGATACACTGCAAAGGTTCACACTACACGCGTTATGCATAACCGCTAGCTGTGCTGCATTCTCACGCTTCTTTTCATGTTACTCTAGCTATATAACTGGTTGTTTTAGTGATTCTTACTATGTGACGATGTTCCACTGATGATGGTCACACGAAAACGTTCTGGAATTGTTTCATTTTAATTGTTTATACATGATTATGAGTGCACAATTGATATTTTTCATTGCTATTTTACAACTTGATGACCAATGAATGTATTTACCGGATGGCCACCAGTTGCTGCTCCTGCTTTGCAAGCTGCTGCTCAATGTAGCGCTGTCGTCGGCCCTCAGCAATGCGCTCCGTCATGTCTTGTGGCTTGTTCCAACTAATCAGAAAGCCTGCAATGCATGTACAGTGGTGAAACACCAATCACAGTGACTTTCATCATTTATATTGCTCCTCCGTTCTGAGTCTCAACGGGCATCATTTAAAAGTTCATGTAATGTGCAGCTCGGAGCTATGAAGCAGCTTCTTTGGTCATGCCATACTGTGCGCATCACAAGAGTATTGTTCCCTAACATTCATGGCCGTATGTACATCATACACGTGCATGTAAGCATTCTTGTGTCACACTCACTCTCAGGATGGTCCAGAGTGACTGAATCGGTGAAGGACTTGTACCGCAAATCCTGAAAAAGAGCGAGTCGCAGATCAAGAAAAACCTCGCTGTCGGGTCAAAATCCTTTTCACGGTGCACAGGGCTTATGGAGTGTGGGAGTCTGGTGGGGAGGGAGTCGCAGATGTGGTAATGCCATCACTGCCGATCAAAATCTTTTTCAGCATGCACAGGATCGTTATAGAGTGTGGGAGTCTGGTGGAGAGTGAGTCACAGATGTAGAAATTCCATCATTGCCGATCAAAATCCTGTTTACCATGCACAGGACCGTTATGGAGTGTGGGAATCTGGTGGTGGTGGTGGTGGTGGGGGGTAGATAGAAACTATATTTGCACTGCAGGTTAGCCACTGTCCATCCCAATCCAGCAAGATTCATGTACGGTAATGCCATTGGATAAATAGTAACTTTTAAGGTTGGTATGAGAGCCAGTCAAACTAGCTTTTCCACAACCGGAGGAACACCCGACAACCCTCAAGGATCTAGGTGCAGAAGCAGTTTTGAAAGAGATGCGAGCTGATCAGATCCACCGCAAAGCGGTCAAGAACTTTTTTTAAATGAGCTGCCAGCGCATTCAATGTAAGCAGCACCTTCCACTACTCACCTTCAATGTTTCCGAGAGTTCCAGGGTGCGCAGGGCACTGGACCAGTTGTGCTCCAATGTACGCTGAGCATTACTCTTGACCTGAGTAGGGTGTTTGTGTGCATCAGCACAGGATATTAGAGCGGCACAGTCATCAGAGTGTGCATTCTGTTTCGCTTTGTCCGCAAGATAACGGTGTACCCCAAAGAAACCAACTGATGCATGCGACGAAGGCACTCGCACCTCAACACATTGCTCAACATTTCAAGTTCTATTTTCCTGATAATGCTGTCCTGCTATTGGCTAAAATAGGCTGACGTACATCACAAACTTGTGTTTACACCGGGGTATTCCAAAGGCATACTCAGGGGGCAATTAACCCGAACTGCCTATAGGGGTATAACCTCCGAGACTGCACCAGTGGATAGCTCTAACTCTATAAGCCGGCGGACAACCCCCGGTGGCTGGACTGACTGGAGGACAGCCCAGATTGCCTGGGGAGACAAGTCTATAGCCTGTCCGGTCTTAGGGTATGCCCCTTTACTGCCGGGGAAGATCCTATTGTGCAGCCTATCACCTACTAGTATTGGAGATGTCAGGTACCTCACAGTGAAGAGCATATAGTGTAGGAGTAAGTAAATAAGTAAATTTTTGTGTCCGTTACCGACGGTAACTCACAACGGCGGCTAACATCCGGTAAACCCTACCGGTAGATGCAGCGCCTAATGGTGGGGATGAGGAGATAAGTCTCACAACCACTGGCACAAGTGCCGATAAACCGTCCCATTAGCCGTATCCATGTACTCCTTGTGCCTGGCCACAAGTTCCCAGTTGACCGTGTGCTACCAGGTAACATAATACACACAGTGGAAGCCAGTATTATTTGGTGGACCGGCAAATATCTACTTCCCATTTCTCGGCCTAATCAATGTTCCTCTTGCCGATTTTGTCAGATGCATAACCACAAAGTCATGTCCTTCCCAATTCATTAATACCCCTGACAGGTCTATGGTCTTGGAGGCATACTGCTAATTCAAGCACGTCATGATGCGGCACGGCGTGTTCACTTACCTCTTGGTATGTGTCACTCAGCTGAGCAATGAGAATGTTGAGCAGTACAATCAGCAACGTGAACAGGAAAAACATCATGATGACCACAGCAAGCCAGCTGCAAACAAGCCACAAACATGCACATATGCACGCAAACGCGCACAAACACCTGCTGTTGGAAGTTATTGCCCAAAAACACACTGCCAATGAGATTCCTCCAGAAGCTCATTCAGGTGTGACCATTGAATCAGCAATAGGAAGTCCAGCATATGACTGTAAAATTTAATATATCACTTCATGCTGCTCTAGACAATTAGAAACTGAACTAAGGCAATCTGTTTGTTTATCAAATAGTTCCCAAAGTTTCGCTATATGCCATCCCTGATACGTGCCTGAATTCTTGCATGCGTTTCAGCATCTCGACACCATGCATCCAGGACATGCACCTGTAGCACTGAGTACGTCAAAGGCGATGAGCCACCACCCAACGTGCCGGCAACACACCATTATCGTGAACAAATGAAAACTAAATTCCATTCAACTCACTGAAAACTATCTTGGAAGTTGTCGACAACAGATTCGTCTTGGGCGAGTATCCGTAATCCGGTAAGCAGGATATTCCCATACGTGCTGGTAAGCACAATATGGAAAGGAATGACTTAGTAAAATGGATATTCTCCATCAAACACGTCATGGTTTTCTCGGCTAGGAGATTTTTAAAAGCACTATCCATTAGCAACATTAGCAACAGTTCTAAAGAAGGCGTAAAGACCAGCACATTTCACACAAGAATAATCTGTCGAATGCCAGTCCAACGAGCAAAACGAATATTTGACTATTCCCCACCCACAAGTCAATGTGTGCCAGAGACACAATTAACATGTATTTCCTGACGTGAGCAACTATGGGACACAATAGACTTTTCTGTCCCTGCGGGAATTTGCGGAAAAAGTCATCGAAAACTTGCGCAAGAAATTGCGGCAGAAAACAACAAAAAATGCGGCGAAAAGTGCGGAAAGATGCGGAACTTGCCAGGAACTCGCGGAATTATTGGCAGGAAATTGCGGATTTGGGCCAAATCACGTAATTGGTTGCATCATTAGAATCGCTATTTGCGTACTGTGCAAATAACCCACGTACAGGATCATGGAAAGCACTGTATACTGCGTGGAAAGTGCAGAAAAATGTAAAAAGAAGTGCAGAAAACAACAAAAAACGCGGGAAATCGGGGACTTTTCAGAAATTTGCGGGTTTTGGCCAAAATCGCGAAATTTGTTGCATCCGTGGAATCGCGATTTCCTGGAGGGACAGCCCTTTCCGCGTCCGGCATTTATCATTATTATTATTATTAATTCAACATCTCCTGGCTCGTCAGAAGACTGCCAATATATATGAGAAGTCGGGTGGTAGCCAACAACGGCGAACTGAATAATAAGGAGAGAAACAAAGAGAGTACTGCAAGGGGAGGCATGACGAAAATGGTGAGATTATTTAGGACGAAGAAGCTGAAGCTTGAACTCCTTAATGTCTGTGCATGCTTTAAGGCTAGTTGGCAGGGAAGACCAGAGAGTGTACGCAGAGAAGATAGGAGATTTCAGAAACAGGGAGGTATTGGCACGGGGTAATGAGAAGGAATGACGTGTTGATCTGGTGGACACAAACCAGTTATACTTAGCAAAGTGTTTTGGAGCCAGGTCTAATAAGATCATGTGTACAAGGATGCAAAGATGTTGCTGGTGTCGCTCTAAGAAATTAAGATTTCTTAATTTGTTTCTTAGTTTTTTCTCCTTTCAAGGAGCTTTGTATCGGGGCGTTTCCCTTCCTTTCACAGGACCTGGTGTTTAGCATGTATGGGACACAATACACTTTTCCTCGTCATTTTTTATTTTGTTTCTCAGTTTTTTCTCTCCTTTCCAGGAGCTTTTTATCGTGAAGTTTCCCTTCCTTTCATACCGGGTGTTTGGTTTCATAGGTGTTTGGTTTCATAGGTGTTTGGTTTCATAGGTGTTTGGCATGGTGTTTGGTTTCATAGGTGTTTGGTTTCATAGGTGTTTGGCATGGTGTGAGTAAAGCTTACTTCGTTTCCTGGCTCTTGTCCAGCTGTGTCCCGGTCACTGTTCCCTCATCGTACGGTGTTCCAACCAAAACTAGGTATGTGCTGCCACTGAACATGATCCAGAAGATTGTGAAGATGATGGCAAACTTTGACATGTCCTTCTTGACGATCTCAATCAGGATCTGCAAGTATATGCCTACCACCCTGCGTGGTAAACACACATTACAAAGAAGACTGCAGCATCAACATTGAGGCTACTCTAGTACAAGAAAGCCGGCACACAATATGAAAACAAACTTGTAGGCAATCCAACTTGGATGTCTGAGGTCCTGTCAATACCCATGGATTAGCCCTCTTTCTAGCACGTCTCAGGAATGTAGACTTCACCTAGTGGAAGAACATGTGCTTTAACGGTTGCTCTCCCTATCTCTTCCTCAGTACCTAGTGGTAGAAGAAATGTTCTAAAATGTGAGAAAATTGAATATTTCTTCGGACTTGGAACTGTTACTCGAGCTTGCAACAAAATGGTGGAGAGGGGTATAATTGTTTGATGGGAAGCAACAGCTACCAGGATATTGTTCACCTTACTTTGTGACGGAAATGACCTGCAGTGTACGCAAGCATACCACTATGTACGTAACAGCGGCAATATACCACTGCTCGTCGACATTTGTGAAGCGCAAAGGTACCAGTACGATGAAGAGAGAGACAGTCGTGAGTTGAACGTAGTTGTATTTGTCCGACCAGTAGTCCAGGCAGCCAGATCTGTGCAACATGGAATGTTCATGGTATAGAACATAGGTATAGAACATACTTTGGTAGTGACATTTTCCAGAACCGTGCATTGCAGCACCATTTGAAAAAGACCCAATTTTCAAAGTTTGCAATCGTTTCTGTAACTTTCTACCAAAGATTGGTAACAAGGGAATACCTGGACCTGTATAGCAGTAAGCTTGAGATTTAAGCTCAGAGAGTGACACATGGTGCATGCCTATCATGGCGTAGATCACACAGAACACCACAAATACACCGTTAGAAGACAGGCGGAAGCAACAGTGGCACATGAACTTACGACGACATTTCTTTTATCTCCGAGTACAGGTTGAACATGGTGCCGAGCAGCAAGAGAACTTCACAAATCGCTCGCACATAGGACTCAGCATCTGGATACTGCCTTGGATCACCGTGCTCGATGACCGTTGCGTTATTAGCATCCAGGTACACCTTGAAGCCATCTGCTCTCTGCCTTCCTGCTGAGATGAAGGCAAAGCTGGTTAGAAGGATGAACATGAAGTAGTAGAGAATGTTTTTGAGCGTTGATCGCTCTCCGAAGGCGTTCCACTTATGGAAGATCAGTGTCCGTACTACACTGTGGTCACGTAGGTCCTGTTACCAAGCATAACACACGCACACACACACACACACACACACGCACACACATACACACACGCACACACAGACACACATACACGCGCACGCGTACGCACGCACGCACACACACACACACACACACATGTACACATGGACACACGCACACATACATACACACACAATCGTTCCATGGTCTACGAGTACATCAGAGATCAGTTGTGCCTCAGCATAACTAACTAAAACAAAGGAGCCTGTATTACACTATCACACAACATTGCTAAGGGTTTTCAATTCAAAAATGCATCTTCACAAATCACAATCCCTATTGAGCTTCATGTATTCTGAATAGAAGATCAACACACGCAGATGTGCATGATGCTAGGGTATGCACCATACCGGTATATCCAATAGGCGATGGAAGTTCGTTTTACAGGGCAGGCGAAACTTGCTCTGACCCGGCGAAAGTCCGGTGCTGTCGCTCTCCAGAACAGTGAAGTGGAACTCGTATTCGTCTGGAACGGGAGTAGTATCCACAAAGCTGTCGAGAATGGCCTGTGCGGTTTTCTGTTTGAACAGAATTACACACCAAGACCATGCGAGGTGTTTTCACTGCATAGAAATGTGATTACAATGTCATGTTGTTGTTACTGGAGTGCACTGTACTGCACTGGTCAGTGTTCAAGTATTCCACTATCCAAAGACACCATTGCACCCCTCCCCCCTCCCCCCCCCCCCCCTGCTTCCACAGGACTGCTTTCCTTTCCCACAACCGACACAGTAGTAAAATCAGCTAGATAACAGTGACTCTGAGCCAGAGCAGAGAGCAAAGTGCCTAGGTCTACATCGATTTGAAGATGAGGCTGAAGGAGGCGCGTCGCCTATTTGGATTTCAACCTCAGGAGTAAGCAATGCAGCGTTTCAGCACACAGAGTAGTGCCATAGGGTCATGCAGTGCCCGGTACCATTTCAATCATGAGGTTGATTGTTTTTAGGGGCCATCCGGCATTATCAATAATTTTCACGAAACGAGAAAGTCTAGTTATGACCCTCCCCCACCCACTCACCCCCTGAACGAAAAATATATTGACTTTACGGCTAGAATGGATAGATGTTTCAACTATCAATATTTTTCATAACGAAACTCTCCTCGACCCACCCACCCACAAACGAAACTTTTTTCGTTTTGCGTAAAATATTGATAATTATGGACGGCCCCTTTAATACTGGCCAGTGCTTTGCTGTCACAGTATCAAATGCTTTAGGATGCGTTTTTATTTCGCTATGGTTATTGCTACGAACAGCTGAACCACACCACTGTGGAAGTCACTGCACTCATTGGATACAATTTCCTTGAATGGCACATGCTCCACTTGCTTCACATCATCAGTTCAGACGCAAGGGACGAAGCTACTCAAGGGTTTTCACGCCAAGAAAACCCTGCACGCTTACATGGTCTGTTTGTGACAATCATTCCAAAGTCAAAAGTTCCCTTGCTTCACTCTCAAAGGCTCACGCGCACGGATTAGAAAACCAGAAATCTACTCATGTACAAGAGACAAACATCAAACAGAGGTAAATCAAGGCACTATTGTAAATTTCCAGCCCCTCAGGGGGTAATGCCCAGGTGGAACTTTTACCACACTGACCAGCTAGTGACACAGGACGACGTACCACCCTCTGGTCTACTGCAGACTAAGGCATGGCTTGCATCCATACAGTACTCCTAGCCCATTGCTACGCTAGCAAGTGCCCCCCCCCCCCCCACCCCCCCCCCCCCCCCCCCCACCACCACCACCCCCAACCACCAAGTACATTGTATGAGAAACTTCGTAAGTTAATCTACACGACGCATTTAGATATGGATGCCTGACTGAATATTTGTCACATGGAGAGCTATGCCACCTGGCACAGCAGGGCAACGGCAGCTTCAGAGCCATAGCTGCCAACCCTCAACAAGCCAATGTCAGCTTGTCAGGCAGGCATGTACATGTATGTGTCACCCCACTCACCGGCATCTTGCTGGAATCTGAGAGTATAGTGTGAAAATTGAACAGAGGTTTCTTCCAACCGTCGTCAGGATCCTCGCTGGACTCAAAGAGAGAGCGAACTCTACACCGTAGCAACAAAGACAGAGTGTGAATGAATGTAATCAAGTTCAGCCAAGCCGCCCAATAGTCAATACAGTTGAACATCGATTATCCGCACATCGACTATCCGACCATTCGATTGTCCGTAACAGTTTTTTTGGGCGCACGTGCTGTAGAGTACGCACTGTGCATGTAGTGAGCCATTCAAAAAATACGAAAATTTTGAAAAGTAGCACTCTATTCTATTTACAATGTACATGTACATGTATTTACAGTGTGTTTTCTTATCCGGAACATTTGCCTTATCTGAACACCGCCTGACAGTTGTCTGCCCAGAGGTGGTCGGATAATCGATGTTCAACTGTACCCTGTATTCTGCGTCACAGTGGCAGCTAGCCTAGAGGAGAGCAACACTGGGAAATCTGTGTGACATAATTCAGAAAGACTCGGATTATTCCTGCAAAGAGGAGTGTTGCGTTACCCTGCGTGGTCCATGTGAAGAATAAGCATTCTTCCTCACACCTCACATCACCCATAACGAGTGCAGGGTTGGCTGCGGACACCTAAATTGCAGGACAAAAATCAGACGTGTGATCAGAAAGACTCGGATCATTCCTGCAAAGAGGAGTGTTGCGTTACCCTGCATGGTCCATGTGAAGAATAAGCATTCTTTCTCGCACCTCACATCAACCATAACGAGTGCAAGGTAGGCTGCGGACAGCCATAATTACTGCAAGACAAAAATCAGATGTGTGACATAAAATACAAAATTAATCAGAATGACTTGGATTATTCTTGTAAAGAGGAGTGTTGCCTTACCTTGCATGGTCCATGTGAAGAATTAGTAGAGAGGCCATTTCGTCGCGCCTGTTCTCCACAGCATACTCCACCGCCAGCCGGCCATGCGCGTCCGTCTTCTCAGCAGAGCTCTCGTTCTCCAGTAGAACTTTGGCGACCAGCTGAAAATCACGCTGAACGGCGGCGTGGATGGTGCTGCGGCCATTGGCGTCCACCGAATTGACGTCGGCACCATAGGTGATCAGATGCGAAAGAAGTGTTCTCGTCTGGAAAGTACACAATAACATGCCAGAGAACTTCAGACATCTGGCAAGTTGTTAGCACGACTGTGTTAGTGACAACGAAACTGTACAAACTGCTTAGCGCCGTTGGGATCGATTTTAGTATGCACTATCAGCTTGACCTACCGGCCAAGGGGTTAAAGCGTACAGCAGTGCCAGTCTTTCAGTGGTGGAGGATTCACCAGCTGCTGCCAGCCCATGCATGGCTCAACATTGGTGTTTGTTGACTACAGTATTAGCATGGCTACCGTCAACTATGTTCTGTGGTCCCCGGCTGAATACACGGCGTGCTTTCTGCTCACCTCGACCTCCGTAGGGCACTTGTCAACGATAAAGAACATGGCTGCATCTTCACTGCCACTATGGTCCTGTACCATCCGCTCCACTCTTGCTGCGACTGTTGCCTTTTCCAAGTTCAAACCCTCTATGTTCATTTTCTCTTTCACCTACAAGTACAAAACACACACAAAACACACACAAAACAACACTCAAATGAGAATGTAGAGGTTATAACTATTCAACATGATGCCATTGTAGTGGAGTAGCGGATTCGCCTATGAAAGCTCAGTATACCGGGTATACGGCACGTGTCGGCATGCAGTTTCAATTGATCTAGGGCATTGCTGCACTGCAGCTTTGACACTCCATACAAACCATCACTGACTGATAACGAAATCACATAATTATAGTACGTAAATGGAAGTGGATTGGGGTATAACTAATGTTACTTTATGACTATCTCCCCCGGTCGTACACTGCCGCGTTTGGAGTTACCAATGGCAGCTACGTGATTCGAAATCTACGTATGGCGGAACACGAATCCGCATGCAGTGTACGTAAGACTTTCCGTAGATCAATTGCGTTTTTAGCAATGATTATGGTATAATTATGTAATTATGTTCACGGTTGTGCGGAACCTCTCTAATATTACATCACTTTCACAAGCAAGCAATTCTTTCACACCTTACAGCTTAGGATCCGCGGCCGAACTCACCATCGTTTCAAGTTTGCTATCCATAGGTCCTTCGAAATACCCATCGTCAGCCTTCTGGTGGCGTGCTGCGGTAGATATATGACGTTTCCGATCTGCAATACTTTCGTTGGCTTTGCTACTCCTCCGCGAAGCACTTCCTAACGTCAGGAAGTTACGAAACGCTGTCAAGGACTGCGATTTACGTTTGGCCAGCATCGGATCGTCGTCTATGTAAATCTTGTTTCCTTGCACGCTGACACCGAGTCGGCCCGCTTTTTTCGGCTTCTTCGGTGAACCACGCTGCTTGGCGTTCGGCAATTGTTCTTCCCGATGTCGGCTGGCCGCATTGTTGGCATCTGCATTGTCCATTTGTGTGCTCTGTGGAGATGGCTGATCGACCGTTGGAGTCTCCGAGATGGAGAGCCCTTCGAACTGGCTTGACGACTGCAGCGTGTCGTTACATTCTTGCACACAGTCAGATTGCTCTCTCATCAAGGCATCACTGCATGCCAGTGAGGAGAGAGTACTGTGGGACGGTCCGGGTCCCTTGTCCATCCCTTCAGAAGTACTCTCTTGCTCGATCCAGCTTGTGCGATCATTGCTAGTTGCTCGGGACTCCGAAGAAACGCCAGGTATGCAAGAGTTGCTCCTCTCGTCACGCGCATCCTCAGTGGAAGTAGCACTCGTTTTCGGCCGCTTCTTGTGAAAGAAGGCCCGGAGTCCTGACGAGCCGCTGGCACTTTTCCTTTCCATGCCATTCTCCTCAGCTGAAGGAACAGAGTAATGTGAAGTCACTTCTCTAGTCTGCTCCTTCTTGGCAGCCTTTCTTCCGTTAGAAAAGAAAGAGAACCTTCCAGCACCGCCGTCATGAATATGCACGCCGGGCGCTGAGTCCGCTTCGGGATCATCAGCGTTCTGGCGAGTTTGGGTTGCCAGGTGACCGCTAAACTCCGCAGACTCGCTAGGGCTGTGACGGTGCTCCGAGAGAATACCACGCTCTGGATCGTCCATGCCTGGAAAGATCTACAGAGAGGAGGCACACGAACCTGGGTGTTCAAGAGATGGCGATGAATACGAGCACCTGGACCTATGATTATTATTATTCTATCTTGCTCCAGAACGGGCAACAATGCCAATGGTCAACACAATGCATCTTCTGCGGAAGGAGCTGTCAGAAACTGAGCCTCCGGGTCCGACCAAAACTTGCAAACTCACATGTACAGCCTCAGTACGGCAGTGTAGTCTAGATCTACATGATTTGTAGTCTATGATTGTCATGTATACCATGCACAGGTACGACAATGTCCCTTCAGCGAGTTCAGGCTTCACGGCTTTTGTTCGGGTGCTGATCCTCAGTACCTCACTGAGCGGGGAAGCTCTCACCTCAGTTAGTAGTAACGTCGATATGTTGATGCGATGATGAGGAGCGAAACGTCCCTCACGTGTATCAATAAAACAAGGCAGGCCGAGATCAATTGCCTTCCCACAACGCCGAACATGAACCACAATGGCACGAGACTGTGCACACACACGGACACAGACTGTCCTTCAGTCTTCACACATTCACGAAAAGGTCTTTGCAGAAATCACGTCTCCGAGATAATACACCTGGACTGGAGTGCGGCATGGATGAGTTGGAACACAGCAATGTCAATGTCGGAAACGAGTATTACAGTTTACCTGTATACATGTACCGGGTACTTGCCAGCCAGTCGCTGCAAAGGGGAGTGCATGCACCAATCCATGGTGCATAGTTTGCAGAGCGAAGAACGACAGCACTGCGGACCACCAGTACCTCGAGATACTAATAGTAATAATTACGGGTAGCAGTGTTTTTGAGACGCTCCTGGTAACAACGCAAAGTCATCGAGTATCTCAGCAACGCTGCCAACTACTTCAACATACACTGTAATTAGTTTGATAGGAAGTCGTTTCGGACTTGTCCTGGACAGCGATGGTGGTCCGTGTCCTGCTCTATTCTGTAGTGTAGGCCGAGTACAGTACACCTGGTACACGGAAATGTAAGTGTCCAATACTAGCACGCCTAACGCCAAGGTATTCAACAACTACATTGTACATGTATAATGTGCATAAGATTGCATTATTTGCACTGCTGCCGTGCTGGTAGCTTGCGCTTTAGTTTCATTCATAGCTCCGTGCCAAGTACTGTTCTACAGTCTAGCGCATTTGTGACGGAGAGCATACTAGCAGTGCACATGACTATTATCACCAAGAGTTCATGACCCCCATGAACTATGGAACTCTTGTTATCACTTATCGCAAACGCCTTGCCAAGGTGAAGGACAACTAATTACTTGACAACAAGGTTCCCGTAGACTGGGCCCACGACTCACTGAGACTCAAGACCCTGTGCCTGAGGCTGTGCGTGGATTTAAATCAGGCCTCTACTCTAGAGGCCTGGTATGCATGATCACTAGGAATACAATCATTGATTACACAAAATAATGTATGACATTGACTGGGATATACAATGTATATTGTGGAATTATTAATTTTTTGGATCATCTGGGTGATCTGGCGCAGCTGTTGAGATGGACCATTTTCGATTCTGTTGTAAACGGCTGTCTAAGTACGACATGCCAATACTGATCCTAATGATAATGGAGAACAAGGCATGGCTTGACCCTGCTGCGTCCCAGCAACTCCAAGAACCTCCTTTCAGGTGGTGCTACATGGTGATTCTACTAGTATTTGCATGCTGGCAATGAAGAAACATCCCACGTGATGTACTTGTTGAGCCACAGGAAACGCTCCACTTGAGCAGCACTTGAGCAGTTTGAGTGACAATGACGAAAGGTGTCCGAAGGTAAATGCTTTCAACAGACGAATAATACGAGGAGACCACCTTCCTGGCCTGGCAGCGGAAAAGGTCCATTGCCATTGGCAGCATTCTTGAAAGTGATGACGTCAAAACGGCCAGGGAGTAGTAAGTTGACATCAGATTTCTATTTTTGGATCCACTAAGGTGTGACTTTGCTATTGCCTCAGTATGTGGGTGCATAGCAACCCACTCATGTCGCATGCAGGTGTGACTTTTATTTCGCCACCAGTTGTAACCCCGCCCCCAGTAGCCAAATCAGTCAGTTTCACTGGTTACATCACCTTGCTGAGAGTAAGACGGCTTGAAATGTGCTTGGATCCATACAAAAACTGGATCCAAGTGGATCCAATTTTTGAATTTTTGAAATTGTTGCTATGCTGTGACGTAGCACTTTCAAGCCCTATATGCCATCCTAGCTGGCTAAACAAGCTAGAATAGGCCTTGACGGATTATGCTAATATTTTCGTGAAATTATGCTTTTCGCATTGCTGAAAAAATTCCCGAATTATGCTATTTTTATGCTAAAAGTTATCATATTATGCCGCATTATGCTCACATATGCTGCTAATGTACATGGTGGTTCTGTGCAAAATAACAGAGGATGTTTTTGTAGAGGGCCGGCGTTGTACTGCAGTAGCAAAAGTTCAATGGGGTCAACGCACCGTCCGCCCTACATGTACATGTAGCTACGAACGTCACTGATTGTAGTGGACTGGACATATTATCATGGGAGTCGTAAACCTCCGACTTCCTGGTGCATCTACTTGTACTTGTACGGTACTTGTAGAACATGTACAACTGTATGGAATTTGATGCGAAAAGGCGGATTATTCCAATCTATGCGATTCGTATGCAATTAGCCTCGAATTATGCGATTATTCGATTTTGGTAGGAATTATGCGAAAAATTATGCTAGCATAATCCGTCAAGGCCTATTATTAAAGCTAGAACCTTTTCAGCCCCACGAGAGCGTCCTGTTTGATGATCAGCTGGCTTAGTTGTTCTCCACCTCTATCCTTATTACATCCCTCCCCATTTTATTACTGCTTTCTATCTGCATTCGCCACCTTTTCATTGGGCAGATCTGCCCTTTTGGTTTGCGAATTAAAATAGACACAACAACAAACAACAAGAGAATTATTAGCAGAGAGCAGTGCACCTTCCATGTGCCGATGTGGGGCATGTGCACTGGTTGCCTGGGTCACTGAGATGGGACAGGGAGAATGGAATCTTACACAGAAGGGTTCTCTGAAAAAGAGTGACAGCCACTTCATGTACATGTACTTGTAATAATTACAAGTACTTGATACGCCGAATACATGACCTAATACAATTGCTGTATTATAGGACCTGGTAGCCTGCGTGAATTGCATATTGACGAAAGGTAGTGGTTGCTCCAACGTGGAAGACACGCTTCCTGCCGAACTTTTAAAACACTTGACTGACTCACGACTGCAATCCGGAGCAACCAACTTCATTACTAATACTAGTACATGTAGTACCGCCGAAGTCGCAACTTCTACGTTCACTCCCACCCTGTGATGGTAATTGAAGGCAATACATGTAATATAGAGGCAAACATCTGTGCACTATCCAAGTGAACTACTGTACATTGTAGGTGACAATGCCCTACCTAGTACCTCTCCTTACGGTAAGGAAATCCAGAGACAGTATTCCATGCTCCACTCAGGGCTGTACATGGTACATGTCCTGCTACTTAGCGGCTAGTACTACTAGTAAGTATTTTGTTGACCATGGATTCCAGTTCCATTTCGGCACGGGGGTACGTCAGATCAGACTGCTGCCTGGCCGCAACCAGAGCAAACTAGGTCAGGCACTGGTACATGTACATAAACGAATCGTCCATGTACAAACTTTCGGCCTTGTATGTCCAAGGCAATAGTCCCTTTTATGGGCAAGAGCAACACAATTATTGTGATGAGAAACCAGGGTAAGATAGGAAGAAAATAACACACAGGTGTGGAAAATATGTCTCATGAGAGTGGCGAGAGTTTTACATTAAAACACGACTGGTTTAGATACGGCTTTCAACCACCACCATCATGAGAGTGGCGAGAGTTTTACGCTAAAACACAACTGGTTTAGATCCGGCTTTCAACCACCACCACCAACCACTTTGTCTTTGTGGTGAGTGCGGCTACGATGTCATGTGTGCGGTGCGCGCCCTGTCACTGTACATGTACATGTACAGTGACAGGGCGCGCACCTCACACATCGGAGCCGCACTCACCACAAAGTATGTTTGTGGAAGGAAACTGGCTTGTTGAAGTAACACGTTAGTTTGCTCTGAGGCCAGAGTCGATCGAACTGAGCCACTCCTTTTGTGTTGGCCCGTTGCCTCCAAGTTGCCCTCAAATTTTGGTGTCGCAGAGCGGCAGAGGTGGCTCCAAACCGGAACGGTTTTGGAGTGCACGTCAAGTAACTTTGTTACTTTGGCTTAGTTCACTCTGGGTCTGAACTTAGGTAATTGCTATCGCTCCACGACGGCCAGTACAGAGCAACAATAAGCCTTGTGTGTGCGTCCATTACTTTTCATTGGCCCGGTATACGGTGCTTTATTGGCAAGAGGCGAGCCGCTGTGACAAGAAGTTGATTTTTCGAAAGACGAAAACTCAAGTCGCAGTTTGAAGCAACACGTCAACACCTGCTTGGTATGGCGCTTCTAGACTAGTCATCGCAGAGCCATGCCCTTTTGACTCTGAGTAAAACACATCGTAGTCTCACTATGACATATGTTTTCTAATCAAATACCAAGAGAGAAAGTGAATATTGAGCCCTTTCCGGTTTGCAACCTATTTCGTATTTGAAACCGTCTCCTCTACTTGTACATGTACATGTACATGACGTTGTACAATACATCGATTTTCATTGGCCCTGGGGCCCGGGGACATGTCCGGACATCTGCAGCATGCCTCTACCAAGGGTAATTCTTATTGATGCCCATTGCATGTAATTACTGTACTGTAATAGTAGTGGGAGAAATCCATCTGTGTGTTCTTCATACAACAAGATAACATACATGTACATGTACATGTAGGTAAGGAGCAACTAATTACTTTCGGCCTTGTCAATATACATGTACATGTAGCTATTATTAATTTTGTCAGTATCTACAACTTGGAGTCGTGTTGCTGGTTTGATGGTCGGCCAGAGAGCGCATGTGGTGGTGGAGGTGGAGTTGCTTAAAGGGGAAGTTAAGGCAAAAATTAAAATTTCACCAGTTGTAGTCTTCGGGGTGCTGAGTCGAATGGTCTTGGTCCGAGGAAGCTGAGACGCTCCCTTCCTACTTGAATCCCAATCGAACTCGCGCACTTCCACCGAAACTGGGTGACTGCGCCCTACGAGATGGGGATTTGTATGCAAAATGTCACTAAAAGTGCCATTTCGTTCTTATAAAAGCACGGATGACCGCGATTGGCCCATATGTTGTAGTCTTTTGGACGCTGAGTCGACTGGTTTTGGTCCGAAAAGGCTGCGATGCAGCGTTCCTCCTTTATTCCCAATCGAACATGGTTGAAGAAGCGGTCACGTGCTCCTGGGTGCCCAAATCACCTGGTCACCACGCCAGCAGGCGACAACTTTCACACCAAGGTTCAACTCGAGTTCAACTCGAGTGACAGGACTGCACCCAAAAAAGGTCAAAACAGGCTAGTAAGTTGTACCCTGCAGGCACGGTGACCAGGTGACTTGTGTACGCAGGAGCACGTGACCACTTGTTCGACCATGTTCGATTGGGAATAAAGGAGGAACGCTGCATCGCAGCCTTTTCGGACCAAAACCAGTCGACTCAGCATCCAAAAGACTACAACATATGGGCCAGTTGCGGTCATCCGTGCTTTTATAAGAACGAAATGGCGCTTTTAGTGACATTTTGCATACAAACCCCCATCTAGTAGGGCGCAGTCACCCAGTTTCGGTGGAAGTGCGCGAGTTCGATTGGGATTCAAGTAGGAAGGGAGCGTCTCAGCTTCCTCGGACCAAGACCATTCGACTCAGCACCCCGAAGACTACAACTGGTGAAATTTTAATTTTTGCCTTAACTTCCCCTTTAAATGATACAACAAGACTAGTACATGGTGATTGTTATGTACATGTAGCTAAGGCCTAGTAAGGGTTGCTTCTGGACGCAGTCATTTGACCCAGGCCATAATGAACTATGGACGGGTCAGTGTCTAACCGTTACTAGGGTCAGTAACTCAATCATGATCCAGTGTTACAGAAATTATTTCCGCCTGGTGTTTGTTGCATGCGACCTGTTGGCACTGTTGCTAGTCTGTGTTCACTGGAAATTTGACACCGACTCAACAAGTCAGCACTTCTTCTAGCTTAGCTAGCAATCAGCATTCCACCCACTGTTCCACTGGCGCGGCAACTCCAGGAAAACGTTGTTTCCAAGTAGTGGCAGCCTTATTGTCAGAAGTTGTCACATACCTTCGTTCAGCATTCCACCCACTGCTCATTATCCCAAGCATGAAACCGGCGCGGCAACTCCAGGAAAACTTTGTTTCCAAGTATCGGCAGCCTTGTTGTCAGAAGTTGTCACATACCTTCGCTTTCCGCCAAATAGATGTACCATGTAGACTAGATGCATCCTGCTAAACAGGCACCGAGATTCCCCCATCAACAGTGCCCTCGCCCTCTACAACACACTCCCTATCGTCATCACAACCCAACCTCGTAGAAATTCTTTCCGAAACAATGCATCCAGTCTTCTTTTGAGCAGTACCTGTTCCTGCTCCGCGCATCCCCCTGGTTTCTGATATCTCGAACGTGTACTCAACTATCTCAACATCCCTAACGTTATTGCCTCCGCTTGTTTTTCATGATCCATTGCTTCTTGCCTCCCCGGTTACTTTCCATCTAGCTGTTTCTGGCTAGTACCAGTTCTATCGCACTTATCAATCATCCTTATTGGCGTCACGCCATCGTGGAATAAAAGAATAATAAACACAGTAGCTCTTCAATAACATACTCAATCTCCGGACGGACAGTTAGCCGTTTCGGTCTGGTCAGATTTCGTCAGCGGAGCTTAAGAGTTACTGGCCGAATCGATTCCAATGAAGAAGCATCAAGTCTGACAGAGTGCTCTGACTGCGCTAAACACAGCAAGCTTTGCACGAGGCTGAGGCCGAGGACAGACAACTACCGGTAATAACGTTACTTTGACGCTAACCAGAAAGTGTGCTCAACCAAACCGATGAGGGAGCGTATTACTAACTCGACAACTATGGAAAAGCTGAAGTCGTGTACATCTACACTCCACAACTCCACAAATGAAGGTGTTGGTAGTGAAGAGGTAGTTCTATTCGGGGCTCGCTGCCTCCTGCCGACTGAGTGACACTTGAGTAACTTTACTTCTTATTACCGTTGAAGTCGCAAGATCTCAGTTCGTACAATTCTCACCCAGAAATGGCACAATCAAGCAAGTCCTTCTTTGCCATTTACGTCATAGTTTCGTGTTCGGAAAACGCGCATTAGACAGAACATAATTCAACTTACATGGACATTGTAGTCCGGGTATGATAACAGCCTATCGCAAGACGGAGGAAACACTGTGATTGCATTGAATGCAGCCAGACTGGTTGGCAAGATCCCGGTCTTGCGACTATTAAAGACCCTCAGTCCCTCAGCATTCTGAGACATTGTAAGGGCGCGTCAGAACTGTCACTCTTTGACTTTTCGAGGAGTTTCGTTTTTCTGAAGAGGCCAATAAGCCACCTCTTCAGAAAAACGAAACCTCGATACTCCAGTTACTCCACAACCTCATCCGATGGGAGAGGTGGATTAGTTCCGAAGAGTTTGGAATAGCTAAGTCGAGATGGTCGATCTGATCGACGTCATTATCGCCATGAAAAATCCACTGAAAAACTCTAAAATGAAATTTGTTCAAACAGTTGATGAAGACAATTCGAACGCCCCCTAAAAGGGAGGGGGACCAACCGGTCTCTGGTTGCAGTCAGGACCACTACTTTCAATGCAAGCATGTGTACACTTGCATGGTAACTTTATGGTGTGCTATAATATTTTACTTCATCAAGCAAACAGGCAATAATGCCTTCTAGGAGCTCACCGGCCAATGGCTGACTCTCACAGAGTAATGGAAAACCAAATGGGGTTGTCTGTCTCCTGGTCGTACAGTAGTCTCGTGCCTTTGGTGGACCATGCAGTGTCTGATTCATTATTGTAGGGACTCCACAGCACTGCATACAGGTAAAAACAGACCAGCCCTGCACTCAGAATCAATGGAAATATTTCAGACCGTATACGGGTCAAACAATACGACACGGAAAGAAGGAAGAACGCCAAAGATACAAGGGATGAAACCCGGCAATGAAATGAAAATGAAAATTTGAAATAGCCTAATCCAAAGAAACTCTAGGCAGATATATCAAAGTTGTGTAAAATACCGTACACGGGTAATTCATGGTATACATGCATATCATCACCATGCTCTAGTGCCCAAGTACTGTAGTGTGGAGGAAATGTGAGTAAAGGATAGAAAGGGAGAGATTGCAGGCCCGGCATCTGTAGAAAAATATCTCATTGATGATGGTTTGGCCAGGTCAATGCACACAGGGATAAGAACAGAGACCAAATCAGAGCGGTGATAATGTATACGAGTAAATGTAGGCATCATAATAATAATAATAATGTGGTTTTTCATGTGATGAAGTGACTGCAGTGGAGCTTGCGCACATTTTAGAAATCATTCTAAGAAGCATAAATATCCCGCATGCCGCACAGCCAAGGGTAGATGCTGCAGAGGCACGCGTGTTGTGCATGCAGCATCGTTGGAGTACTGGGGAAAACGCATGAAGTGTAGAAGAAAGAAATAGTGCCCTGCGTGAACGGACTCTCTGGTTCAAGAAGATAATCCATAATATGGAAATTTTCAATTCGCTACAAATAGAAAAATACTACTAAGATTTTCAAGAGGTAAAATGCAAGCATATACATGTGTCATACAAGAATTCCGCTAGATCATAGCAATAGATTTGCGAAGCAGCCGGTAATGAAGGAGAAAATTACGTGAAATGATGCCAGCATATAAAATGAAGTAAAATAAAGTTCGCATCCGTGTACCCACCGGCTATGCACATCCGTGTACCCACCGGCTATGCACATCCGTGTACTCACCGGCTATGCACATCCGTGTACCCACCGGCTATGCACATCCGTGTACTCACCGGCTACGCATATCCGAGTACCACGTACCCACCGGCTATGCAGCATATACATACACCACTATGCACCGTGACTCATCGGTCTTAGCCACACATGGCAGTAGCGGCCCTGCTCACATCCTTCTTGCATAGATCCTGGTTCATGGCCATGTTGCACGACCAGCGCGCGGTGCGACCCTCGTCCACACAGCTGCAGCGTTCGCAGATCTGTACCTGGTCTGTGATCTCGCCGGCCTGGACGCTGACAAAGGCGCGACTGAAAGCGGCTGTCGCGGATCCACCTCTTCTCAGGACATTGATATCCCATGCAGCACCGCCGACTTCCAGCGCGAGCGTGGTGTAGTCATGTTTGGTGTTACGGTAGAATTCGCTGCCGGCGAAGCCTTTGTTTGTACTAAGATAGGCGCCGAACGGCTCGTCAAAGTACGCCATCTTCTTGGCATCCACGCCCATGGCATTGCGGTTCTGTCCCTGTGCACGCAGACGTTGGTCAACGATGACGTTGAGCTTGGCGTCCGATTTGCGGATCAAGTGCTTCACCAGATGTCTTGTGAGATTGCTGGCGTACACATCGCGATCTTCATTGGTGACGAGAATAATACTGGTAGCAACGTTAGGGTGGTCCAGTCGCAGCATGTTGTCTCCATTGCTGTCAGTGAGGTTCTCTAGCGCGTACTGGATTGCCAAGTAGCCATCCTCGATGTTCTCTCCGGAGGAAAGCCGCTTGACCATATCCAGAAAGGACTTGACTGTGAACACCTTGCTGCCAGTCGAATCTGCGAAGGCACTGGGTAGAATACGCATTGAATTCCCCGTGGGCAGTCGATGACGGCCATAGCCGACCAAGGCGTAGTGATTGGGCAGTGCTGGATCAGTACCGACACCGGCATCCTGGAGAGAGATATCTAGCTGAGGAATCGTGTCCGCAAGCCACTGGTGATGGTTATCCATGGAGTCCGACTCATCCACAATGACAAGAACATCAGCAGCCGGCGTGCCAGCAGGGGTCTTGATTTCCGCTTTCTTGCTACCAATTGGTGAGGTACCACATCCTAAATACAGTGAACAATAAAAGCATTGGTAGATAGAGAAAGAATTATCATCAGTACACCTAGAGGCACAATACCCATTCCCATGCCGCTGATG